TATTATATTATGTAAAGGATACAGTGTGTGTGTATGTGTGTGCGTGCCTGAGGCCAGAGGCAGTACGCTGAGTAGATAAGATTGACATGTCAGCCTTGATGGCGAAGCATGAGAAAGCGTATAAGGAGCAGAAAGCATCACATAACCTGAGGACACTGACAAGCAACAAATGCCCATAAACACACACAAAATCCTTTCCTGTGTCCTCCTAACACACACGCCTTCTATCTGACTCATATCAAGAGTGACATGTGTCTCCTTCCTCCTGTCTCTTTCTTCTGCTCTCTGGAGATTTGCTGATTTGCAGTCAAACTCGGCCACAGACAGCTTTATGAGGGTTCCGACCTTGGAGTTAGTGCTTTTAGTGCAAAAAAAAAGTCAAAGGTGCAATAATCTGGGCTGTTAGAGCCATTTGAGGCAGCCCGATGCTTTACGGAGGAAGCCGTTACCGAGATAGAAACTTTGTCATGTGTGTTTGATTACAAACAAAGCTCCACGGAGAAAGGGGGCGTTTCTAGATGGTACCCCGCAATTTGCTAAACTCTCGCGAGATGGTTAAGGTTGGGCCTTGATCTTGAATAGTTACAGTAAGGTTAGGCACTATGTAGGCAACATATTGTTGCGATCTCATTCTAGGAATTGCATGTGCAGAGATGTTGTAAACGGGGCTGTGGACACATCTACATTGAACACATTGACTTTATTTTCTCTTTCAGTGTCCAATTCAGTATTTATCTACACCTCCAGCTGTTTAGCCCCATTTCCAGTCTTTATGCTAAGCTAACTGACTTGATCTTCGATGTTTCTATAACAGAGTGTAGGCTAAGCTTAGCAACTATGTCCTACTATCCATTTGCAAACCCCGGCCAAGTTTACTTTTGCCACACAAGCTAATTAGCTTGCTGCACCGGCTAGAGCTGATGAAATCTGCTAGCAACAGTTGTCATTTCAGCCGGCAATATCAGCAATATTGAGAAGTAAGTTGGTGGATGTATGTTTTTGGCGGATTGTACTGGTTTCTGATTCGCCTTCTTTTGAGACACTGAACTGGACACTGACTGTTCTGTAACCATGGAGACGGGGCCAGCTTTACCATTGGCAAGAGCGAGTGTCAAAGCTACTGAATCTCTGTGTGTGGATTATTTTGTGAAAAAGGCAGTTGGTTGTTGGAAGATAGGGCTGAATATAGGAGTCACACTTGCTTTGAGTGTGTTTGAGTGTGGAGCAGCATACTGAAGAGTTCTGCACTCCCAGAGTGACCTGCTCTAGTTTATTCACTACAGATCACCCCATCTCCCCTTCCCTCCTCTCCTCCTCTCCTCCTCCCCTCTGCCTGCACTTCTTCTCTGCTCCTTTTCTTAATTTGGAGTGTTGTCTCATTTTCCTCCAGGCAGCAACCTCCGGTTCTAAAGAGTGAAGCCGACGCGAAAGTGCCTTCAAATTGGCGTTCTCTCTACTGACCAGCAGGGGGCGACTCCTCCGGTTGCAAAAATAAGTCAGATTGTATAGAAGTCTATGAGAAAATTACTCTACTTCTCACTTGATTTATTACCTTGAAACGTTAAATGTAAACATTTAACGTTTCAAGTCTTCTTCAATACAGCATGATGTTCATTTAGTAAATTATGTGTGATTTAGAGTCAAATAGACCATAAAGCGGAGTATGCTTTAGGGCGGGGCTACTATGATTGACAGGTCGCTGTCGCTACCAGAGATGTATACAGCGTCTCTACGTCACTCCTCCGCATTCCAAATATGGTAACTTCTGTTCATTGGTTGCAAAAAAGCCAAGATCGCGCTCCCGTAATCCAAGATGGCGACGGCCAAATCAACGGATTCAAGGCTTCAAAACCGCAATGGGTGACGTCACGATGACTACGTCCACTACTTATGTACAGTGTATGTTTTCCTCTCCTCTTTTCTGTTCCTCCGCTACCTCTTCTACCTATTATATTCCCTTTGTGCTATTCATCGCTTTTATTCTTTATAATGTCACTGTGACGACAACTACTATAGGCCTACTTCTACAAATGTATAGATACCAGGAAAAATCCTAATTATACTTTTCCATGGACTGGACTGTGATCAAACCTTTAAATACAATAATGAGTGAAGATGTCAGCATCATTGGACCTTCTGACGGTCCTAGAACTTGACAGTGGCACGTTGAGCCATCGTAAAACAACAAACGCTGAGCAGAGACAGAGGAGCCTTCCCACTGCGCATGTCTCATCACCCACTTCTGCATCTCAGGGACGATCGTGCCTCCTTCCCCCCCCCCCCCCCCCCCCCTCCAGGGTTAAACAGGGATAGCGTTACACAATGCAGCACTAGGCTGAGTGAAACGGCCTCGCAGAGTGTCAGTGGGGGTGCATGGATAGGGGAGGGAAGCCCTCTCTTTTGCCAAGTAGTAAAAACCTGCCGTGCAATATTCATAACCCCCACTTTCACTCCTCTCCTCCACACATCCGCCTCTCTCTTTCTCTCTCCATCCATCTTCCACCAGAGTTCTCTCTCTCTCTCTCTTGGCCTGTTCTCCTCCCTCTTCACCCTTCAACCACTTCTCCCCCCCACAGCTTTGTCTTCTTAATTTACCCGTACTTCCTCTTCCATTAGGCCTCCTTCCATCTCTTCTTCTCTCGTTTACTTTCCATAAATCCATCAGTCTTCTTACTTAGAGAAATTAGTCTCAACACTAGGGACAGCAGATACATGTTTCATGAAGTGCGCATGATGATTTTTTAGTAATATCCATAGCTCTGGCCCTTCAGTTTCTAGTGGCAAATTGTTAACCTTGCAGAATATGTGAAATGATAACTAAATGTATCTGACACATTCAATTAACAGCTGTAGCTTACTGTATCTATATGTTTTCCATTGTTATTTGCGAATAGAAAAAGAGGTTTGACAGGAGACTTGTTGTGACGGAACTTCACGAAACTGGGTTCTTGAAAACCGGGAAACTGATTGGAAGCCTTTTGCTTTCTTGCCGACAGTTAGATGAGAAGATTGATACCACTTTCATTTTTGCACACAAAACCGGCAGCAGCTGGTTAGCTTAGCTTAGCACAAAGACTGGAAACAACGAAACGGCTGGACTGGCCCTTCTAAAAGAACCTCTAAAGCTCACTAATCACCATATTCTATCTTCTTAGTCCGACACGTAAACCCCCATAAAAACACAAGTCATTTGTAAAGATGTTTCAAGTCTCTGTGTTAAGCTAAGCTAAGTTAAGCTAACCTGCTGCTGGTGGTAGCTCAATATTTACTATACGGACTGTTGAACTATTTAATTTATTTATTTCAAATATGTAACAAATAATAAGAAAACAAGAGCAACCACTTAAATGAACAGAAATTCTAAATAAACAAACTTGAGGGAATATTCCTTAAAGACAAGAGTAGCTAGTTCTGCAGTCACTTCCTGGACCTTTAAGTTACTGCACCTGACCAAGAAATAGTGCCAAACATAACACCCCATAAAACCACAACAAGTCATTTTTATAGACGTTTCTAGTCGTCCCCCTAATCTAAACTAAGCTAAGCTAAACTAAGCTAAGCTAACCTGCTGCTGGCAGTAGCTTTACATTTACCAGACAGACTGTTGAACAAGATTAGATTAGACTATAATCATTTCAAACATATATCAAATAATAAGAAAACCATACGGACTGTTGAACTATTAAATTAGGTTTATTTTTTTCAAATATGTAACAAATAATAAGAAAACAAGAACAACCACTTAAACGAACAGAAAACACACACAGCAAATTCTAAATAAACAAACGTAAAGGAACGATTCCTTTAAGACACGAGTAGCAAGCTGCGCATATACCCAACTACAAATATAATGCAAAGACGCCAAAGCACATCATCAATGTTTATCACAAAGATGTGTCTCGCGATGATGACACCGATCACACTAGCATGCTAGAGGGAGGGGTTGAGGTCAAGTGTGTAAGCATGCGTTTGTATTCATGAAAGGGATGGAAGCCGACACTCGCCAAGACTTCACTGTGGCACTGCATCTGAACCCATATCTCATGTGTCTGCATTTCACAAACCAAACTCTTTGCTTTGCTTTTTCAACTCCTCTCACCGGCTGCCTCTGTGTGTTTGTCTCCGATGCTCGTCTCTGTCTCTCTCACGGTCCCCTCAAAGTCTGCACGTGTGTGTGTCCAGGATTTATCCAGATTCCAAATCCTCTAAGACCGAGATGTCTTTCAGTTAGGACACGATGTCTCTGGCTGCGTCTTTTGAAACATGACGTCAGCGTAACAATGCATGGAGGTGTGTTAACGCAGAGTGTTCACTCAGCCTTTGCTTAACAAGGTGACAATCTATTCTAGTCAAGTGTTCTATTGTCAAACTATTTCATAGGCGACGTGTGAAGATGACTCACTTTTTAAATGGCATCTCATAATCATGTTTACCTTTAAGGCAGCCATCGCTTTGCTTTAATTTTGGAGCGCTTGTGTGTGTGTTCGTGTCTCATTAGTTTATTTTAAGGCAAAGACTCGCTGAGCGTAGAAACCAACCAACCAACAACGTGAATTATCCATGTGTCGATAACAGTCTACTGTTTCTAAAATGTTCACTCTTACTTATAGTGTTTCGTCTGCATTCTGATGGAAACAGTGGTGAAATGGAAATTGGGAGGGCAGAGGTAAATCAGAGCAATGGTTAAAAATGTTATTAATGGAAATATTCAAATGTTTCATTTAAAATATTTCAATTCTTTCTCATATTTTCAGTTCATCAGTAGCGGCTTTGTCCTTACATTGTAACAAATAAATTGATTGGATTAAATGAATATAAAATGGGTTGGAGAAACAAGGGAATGTTTTTTATGCCATTTCATAATTTTAGCAAATTTCTTTATTTGTCAAGATTTCCTTTAAATTTCCACAAGGAGTTTTTAACTGGTGACTAAAACAAAGTGTGCCTTGTTTCACCACCGT